TTGTTTTCTCATTATTTGCAGCAAAATCAAATGTAATTCCCCCAAAGTTTGTATTCCAATTTTTCATTTTTCTATATCTTCATCAACCAGTCAAGCTAGAGAAACAGCTTCCAGACCTACTGAGTCCCGGTGATCGGATTTCCCCACCCTTTCTTGTAGGACTGCTTGGAGTTGATCTCACACCTCTTGGAGAATCCAGACTTCTTCTAAGAATCTGTCTCATTGCAGATATCAGGTGCACCGTAGGATCTGGAGGTGGTCCAGAGGAGTGGAACTTCTTGCAGAAATTCATGTGCCTAGTCATGGCTTCCTCTGTAGTAATTAGCCTTTCATGAGTCCTTATAATCTCATCCTTCACAGCTTCGGCACAGAGCCCACATATCCATTTCCCATGGTATCTCTGGCGCACCCTTTCTATGTAGGCAGGGGTACACTCCTCAGTCAGTCCACAGCAATCACATTTTGCAAACTCAACTTCAGTTTGTGCAACCAGCTGAGTCTCTGTAGGTGCCGGCGCTGGCACCATCATTGGATCACTGATAATGGTAGCAGACATTGCCATTGCCAATAGCCCTGAAAAGAAAACACCACAACCAAAAATCAACAAAATCACACAATTCCTTTAACTTATGTTTGGCTAATGGGAAAAATTAAGATTTAGAAATCAAAGAATAAATTAAAGTTGACTAATATTGTAGCTGGCATCCACAAAATTTAATTGCATGACAACCAAAAGCAACCAAACATATAGCTGTGCTGCCTGTTTATTCTTTTCTGTTGTCATAGGTATGAACACAGATCAATTCAAAAATAAACTCATACATACAGACATAATTTTAATGCAGGAACAGTAAAGAAAACCTCTTGACATGATTTTTTCGTTTTTCCTTATTCATTTACAACCCAACAAAAACAGAACATAATCCAAAAATGAGAAAAATAACAATCACAGCAGAAAAAAGACCAATCTTTCAATCATCAAACAAAAGGGTAAACCAAAATCAATCCAGAAAGGAGGAAAAACTGGGGTGATGAAAATTACCAGCAGAAGCAGATGAATCAAGAAAAGATGCTTGCTTTTATATCTCCTGCTCCACTTCTGCTATACGTTGGCTTTTGCACAGAAATCCTGGTGATTCTTACCTCTCCTTCTCCCACTCTCCTTCTTCAACCTTTTCTTCAGCAAACAAAACCTCACAGAGGACAGCCATTTCTCTGATCCCTCTTCTTCTCTAGATTTCCTACTCAAGAACTCTAACTAAAAACAAAAAACCCCTTTTCTCGATTAATTTCAAAAAACCCAGAAAAACTCGAATGGCAGAATCACCAAAGAAATTTTCTTTTTGTTATCTTGCGCAAAATTCTTCACTGAGAGCAAAGATATATGAATTGCCCAATGGGATTGAGGGAAAAGAGAGAGAAATGAGTTTTTTATGTTTATTTTTTTTGAAGAGAGGAAACGCCCAATGATTGAAGCTTTAAAGGGTGGTTTAGAGTGAAAATCTACATAAGCAAGGATTGCTGTGAGTGAATCCTGAGCGTTCATCTCATGCTTGCCAGCTAAGCATTTATCGCTTTGTGGACTTTCTAGAGTTCTAGTTCTAGACTCACATTTTCCGTTTTTCTTTTGCTTTGCTTGCACCTCCGAACCTATGACGTAGTGGCCGTAACGTTGGGTGAGCTAACAAGTAAATGTCATTTTTATGTAATAAATTTAAGATTTAACTCGAATCCGGTTTTCGAGTCTAATACATCATTTTTAACCCTTAATATTTAGATTTAATGGTTTAGTTGATAAAAAGTTTGATTTCTATTAATGACTTAAAAAAATATTCTCCATTTTCCAAAATTTTTTCATGTTAAAAAAAAAATTAACATTTAACTCTTGCTGATAACACTTAAAAAAAATTTAATTTTATTTATAAAAATATTATAATTATTATTTTATGTAATATTATAAATTTATAATATAATATATTATTATATAGTTAGTTACTTTTATTTAATAGCTGGAGGTCAAAAAATAATTTAAAAATTTATTCATGATATTATATAAATTTTTGAGAGAAAAAGGTTTATTTCGAGTAATAAGTGAAAGTAGAACTTCTAACCTACATAAACCAAACTCTTAGATTTGGTGGGTAAACCAATAAGTCTAATAAACTGATTCATAAACTCATTCATAAACTCATTCATTTAATATTATATCATAATTATAAACTTTTAATTTTACTTAGGCTTGTCCTAATAGTATTATCATTTTATTTTGGTTAAAACTTTATTTTAATCCCTTTACCTTAACCAAAAAAAAAAAATTCCCTTTTACTTTGTCCACTTAAAAAAATCTCTTTTTACTCTCTAAAACTTTCTTGAACAGCTCCTAAATTTTATTATCTAGCTTCTTTTTAGTATCTTTTTTGGTTTTTTGTACATGTAACATGTTAAATAATAAAAGTTATAAAGTAAAAAAACTAAAAAAGAATTTTTTTTGTTAAAATAAATGGACCAAAAAAGAGCTTTCTTTTTTTTTTTCTTTTTTTTTTTTTTTTGATAAAAGGTATAATTTGATTAATAATTGAAAAGTAATTACAATGTAGAGTATACCATGCCATATAGACTATGCAAGAGAGATAAATAAGTTAAATAAGACCTATAACACTAATATAAAAAGTTTGGTGTTTCATACAAATAGAACAATTAAGAACTGGGAACCTCTTAATACTAGTATATGTTGTGGTGACATCAATAGAGCTATGTAATAACATAGAAAGGCTACACTGGAGCTTACGGTCATTGTTGGTAATCACATCTATTTTGCCATCCAAAGTTAGCATGGGAGATCAGGGGACTTGGCGGTGCGGTGTCTCCTGGCACCACAATGCTCCGTCCAAGTAAAAAATGCCTAGTTTGTTTCATGTCCATGTGGCCGACAAAAGCAAAACTAGTGCGAAAACATACACTTCCTTAGAAGACCAATAGCACTAGAACCATAGTCACCCACAACACCAAAACCATAGTCACCCATAGCATCCCTATCCTTCTGTATTTGATTACTGGATTGAAAATTGGAGTGTACTAGGTTCTCTAATGTAGATCGAAGGATGCCGCTACCTTACTGGAAATTGAAGTGCACCAGATTCTCTAAATGCAACCCTCGTCAGAATCCCATTCGAAATTGAAGATATGTCGAAGCGAGATTTTGATCCGGTGAATAAGAGAAACCCAAACCCACCAGTGAGATCATATTCCTCGATATTCAATCACAACCTTCAAAAATTGACAATAGATGTAGATTGAAAGATGCCGCTGCCTTGTGGTCCTTTGGGCTAAAGTTTTTAAAGCAAGATAGTTAATTAAGAGGAAGGAAGATATCAAGAGGAGGAAGGGAAGGGAAGGGAAGGGAATAAGACAGTAGAGAAAGAAGAAACTCCTTGCCGAAGAGAAACCCTTGGAAGAAATCCATAGCTGCCGCCCTCAACCTTAGGCAGAGCACGAGAGAAAAACTTTAATTTAAAAAAAATATTATAAGTCCCTTTATTTTAAAATTTGTCATATAACATTCTATTGTGTAAAAAGATAATATAAGAACTAAAAAGAAATTGAATAATAAATTATAAGTCTTATTTAAATTTTATATATTATGTAATTAAAATTAAATATCCTAACATTTTCAATTTTAGAATTGTCTTGAATTTTATTTTTTATTATATTTAATTGAGAAAAATCACCAAAAACACGTTCTAGGCAAAATCTAGTGGCACCATCATCCCTTTAATAATTGGATTGAAATTGCAGTGGAGCTTAAGCAAGCAACTCCTTTTACCCGTCTGTCCCCACTCTATTATTCATCCAAGCACGAGAGCACCCCCTTCGTTGCTATTTGCTCGTAATTTCGTTGTCTAACTTATTAACTCAATTGGTAAAGGTACAGATCCTTTTGTTTTTAAAAATATTTTGTAAGTAAATCCATGGACTAAGTGATGCCCTAAACCAAAAGGCGAAAGAGAGTGCGAAATTATTAGAATTGGCATCGATGGTGAAAGAGACTTGCGCTTACGAAAATACGAGCAAGATCAATGACAGCTTAAGCGCCCACACCGATGACCAGACACTTTCCGTCCCGTTTCGATCCAAAATGTTAAATGTCAAGAAAATAGTGGAGGAGAACTATAAATGTGGAATTGTGTGTCGGGCAAGTGTTTGATTCGCATGGCCCAAAATTTGGTCCAATTTCAATTCTCATTTACCACGCATGTTTCACATGCATGTGTTATGACATTTTGTTTTCATTGTCCCAACGATTCAAGACCATGAAATATGTTTGGTCATTGTGGGTTATGGAACAACCATACACAATTATTTCTTATAAAATAATTGGTACATCTTTTAATTCAATACATATATTAACACTTACTAGTTTAATTTTTAAAATCTATAGTTTTAAGTTTTTTCATCTTTATTTCAAATTTAAAAATAATAATTTTTTAAGAAGTATGTTATAAATTATATTGAACTAAAAGATGTTTCAATCACTATTCTTTTCATGTTTGCTCAATATAGGTCTTATAGTACTTCAAGAGTCATGATTTAATTGATAAAAGGATTTTCTCTTTACCTTATTAATTGCGATTCGACTTTCTAAAGAAACCAATGACAATGTAATTTCTAATGAATTTCCTAATTTTGACAGACATGACTTGCCTTTAATCAAACCAGAGAGAAATTAGTTTTCTGAAATGCGTCAAAGTTTATCCAATAACACTTTGATTGTTAAATTTAAAAAAAATGTTTTTAGTTTATACTAACACAAATTTAATTAACTAACTCTACATGAACTCACTTAAAATTTTTTTGGTTTTAATTTTTTTGACAATTAAAAATAATTTTATAATATTCACATGGGATCAAACAAATAAATACATATAATATTACACATTTCACTTGAATTTAAAAATTCAATAAAAAAATTATGACTCATTTGTTGTAAGATATCCATAAAATTAGGTTCAATGCTTCAACTCTCTATTTTTATTTTTATTTTTTTGAACAAGGGGAATTTTGGGGGAAGAGGGAATTTTTTTAAGTCATTGGTAAAAGTATAACTTCTAACCACTTAAATCTAAAATCTTAGATTTGTTAATTAACCATTAGACCTATTAATTAGGTCTCTATGAAAATAAAAAGAAGAATTAAATGATTAGCATCTTGTTAGATTTGGGTTATTTAAGTTCAAGTTTGTAAGTCTTAAAACTGTTTAAGACTTTATCACATCTATTCAAGTGCAACTACACGAAATTAAATGCATTCAACCCAAATTGCACAAGTGTGTAATTTGTCTACCAACTTCTTAGATTCATTTCCAAATTCGTACAACTTTGGAAAGAAAATATCTCCACCTAATTTAAATATTGAAGTAAGCAAAAGTGGTTAATTAATGGAGTTATATAAGAATAAAAATTAGTCTCTTTATTCAATTTTAATAATCTTAATTTAACTTTTTTTATTTTCATACATTAATTTTATATTAAAATTTAATAACTTATTCTATATTTAGCTTAAGGAGAATAGAGGATAGGGAGGGGAAGAGAATTACATACTTCCATTTCTCTCCCTAACTCCATTCCCTTTTCCTTATTTGGATAAGTAATGAAGTTTAAAAAAAAATGAAGAAAATTTTCCTCATCCTCTCCAATCTTTTTAATAATTAAATACAAAAATTTTTTCCCCTCTCCTTCCCTCCATTCATCTCAATCCAAACATACTTATTATATTAAAGGCAAAAGCCCTTCTTAAACCCCCAAACTTACCCTAAAATAGCATTTAAACATCTAAACTAAAAATAAAGTAGATAAGCTCTCTAACTCCACAAATGATGCAAATAAACCCTTCTCATCCATAAGTGTTTATGCTTTCAATGTGATATTAAATGAAGTAGAAGGGCTTATTTGCATTGTTAGTGGAGTTGGAGGGCTTATCTGCTTTGTTTTTAGTTTAAAGGCTTAAATGTTATTTTGGGGTAAGTTTGGGGGCTTAAGAAAGGTTTTTGCCTTACATATATAAACAATAATTAAATTTTTTTTCTTATATGTAGTTCTTATTAAATATTTTTATTTGATAAAAAAAATCTTAATTACCAATTATTTAATAGGTTAAATTTTTATTTAAAACTTAAGTTAAAAAATCAAAAAAAAAAATTAAAACCAATAAAGTTGAATAGATAGTATATTTTTTACACACTATGATTGTGCCTAGGCCTGGGCACGGTTCGGTTTCGGTTTAATCAAAATCAAATTTTCAATTATCCATTTATTTTTTTTTTCAATTTTATGATCCAAAACCAAATCAAATTCTTCATGGACTTTTTGGGTTTGATAACCAAAATAATCGGTTTTAATATTTTGGTTATCAATTATAACTGAA